CTCTTCCGCTCTAAAAAAACCCGAAAAGTCGGCACCGCCACCACTTCCACTTCCACTTCCACGACCACCACACCACCGCACCCAACATCACAGCCACCTCCAAGCAAACACCACAAACAAAAAAGGTCCAAGATTATCACGACCCCTACCAACACAACCATCATTTCACAAGGGCCATCAACACAACAAACATCATAGCCGCCGTCAAGACTGCAAATACAACCAACAAAAACCTCCCCAAAAACTTCGGCGGCACCAGATTGAACATCACAGTGCACCAGATCTTGCAACGCCTCTCATCGAATAGCGGAGTGAAGGAAAAACAGTGGGACGCAAGGCTTCATCGACTGCGCTTCGGCGACAACTTCCGATGGTGTCTCCGGCGACAGCTTCTAGATCACCGCAAAGCGCACCACCTCCACAGTACCAGCACCGACTGTAGCAAGTGACGCAGAGAAGGGCTGCTGCTGCTCGTGTAGCAGGCAACGCAGAGGAGGTCTGCTGCTGGTGCTGTAGTAGGCGACACAGAAGAGGATGAGGGAGAAGAGTGGAGCGTCGATCGCCAGAGCAACCTTCCACTTGTTGTCGACGGATCCACCGGAGGGAAATGAGTGAAAGAAGGAAGAGAGAGAGGAGGAAAGAAGAGAGAGGCGAGAGGGGGAGAAATGAATTGATAAAAATGATTTAAGGTTTGGGATTGGGATTGGTGGGAATAATATTTAATTCTTAAATCAATACCTGAATTTTGATTAAAAAATATTCTCGCATGATTTTTGCACTCTAATCAAATTTTACGACAAATGATTCTGTCGTCTTCTCTTCTCTTTAATTTAACCTTATCTTATGCTCTCCCACACAGGGACCGGGCAGACTCCAACTAGTTTCATTAACTTCTATTCCAATATTACCCCTCATCATGTCTTGTATATTTAAACTTTTAAAATGAACAATTGATAGTGCTCAAATGTCAAGCCAAGCATGATTCTAAGTTGATGTTTGAATTGACTTGACTTATAATTTTATCGGGTTAAGTTTTAATTTTTAATACACATTTTGTAAGATCTATAATTACTTTAAACTAATGTTCACTTATTAAACACGCGTTTAATGGGATTTATGAAATATCCGCTATTTATTTTTATCTATTTTTAAGTTAAGTCAATCCAAACATGGTATGAGTTTTCAAGCTTGTGGATTATCTAAACAAGTTAAAGATAACATTAATATTAGCCCCTGTTTGGTATTGTTAAAGTCTTCAAATCGAAGTTAACAATTAATTTTAACCATAAGATCCATAATTCTTCAAAAATAATTATATTCGCAGTGTAGACTAACGATAGTCTATATATATGACATATATATGTGGCAGTTTGTGATTTGATACATTAATGTGATAGTTTTTTATTGACTTGTACATCAAATCACAAACCGTCACATATATGTCACGTAGGAAGACTACCAATAGTTTTCACTACAAATATTATTACACTTCATCAACTTTTATCCAAAAAAACTAAAAATTTGATTTTAATCCCACCTAACGAGGACTTAATGTTTATTAAGAGTTGTATGTATGTTCCCATCAAATGTGTGGTTGCTTGCTCAATCAGAATTTGGCTTGCGACTCGGCAATAGTTTTTTTTTTAAATTGCATTTTTATTCAATATGATAGTTGATTCTTAAACGTTGGTGACTTAGCTCCCGTTTGGAGCACATTTTCAGTTCATTTGAAGAAAAAATATGACCGTTAGTTGTCAAATTTAGGTCCCACCTGTGAGATGAAGGTAAAAAAAAGTGGCTGTCTTTTTAATTTTAACGTCCATATTTTTCATTTTTTTGGTTTAAAAATGTGCCCCAAGTTGCATTCTTAGCACATTTAGCTCACCAGCCAACTCATACAACTTGATGGTCAATTCGCATGTATGATTCGTTATTTGACTTACTCTCAGAGCTCGCGTCATTTGCGAGTTAACCGAACCAATTCAATTGCCACAATTATAATAATAAAAAAGATTAATCTATGTGTACATAAGGAAGTCCTATGTGTACATATGTGTACACATAAATGATGACATAATGTGAGTGAGATGCAGCCAACAATACTGTAGCGTAGGTCTCACCTCTACTCACATTATGTCAACTTCTATGTGTACACCTATGTACACATAGGACTTAGGTGTACACATAGGACTTCCCTAACGAAAATAATCTTATACCAAAGAAGCCAATCATAAATTATTAATTGATAGTCATTTTCAAACCAAATCCACTTTTCTTGTGGTCACAATCGCCCCCTCATTCCTCCTCTCTTTGACTCCCACCCTCTAAAAGCTCCCACTCATCGCCGTCTCTCTCATATTTGCACAGCATCACCTTTTTCTTTTTAATTTTCTTGGCCGAAGCTAAAATGAGCAGATCCAGAAGATTCGAGCTTGTTGAACGTTCACCATCCTACTTTCTCAAAGAAACCTCCATTTTCTCTCACCCTCAAACCCTTATGCTGTTCCCATGTTTTTCTCCATTTCCTGTGTTTGAACAAGGTGAGCTCGATTTCACTCTTGACTTTTTGAACCCTCCCGCATCCCCGCTTTTTGACCTCCCTTCACCATTCAGTGACTTTGAGAGTATTACCGATCTGATCCAGATGGACAAAACCCCGTTCTACACCTCAACTCGCCAAGTCAAGCGTAGAGCTGGGCTCACCTCGGACTTGTACTTTCAATCTCTCTGTGATCGGGTTTCAGCTTTGGAGCTGGGGTTTGACCGTCTGGTGAAGGCGGAGGAGAAGAAGATCGGGGAGAGGAAGTACACATGGACTGCGGAGATTAAGAGTCCAGAGAAAGAAGGGGTTGATAGGAAGTATAAATGGACGGCGGAGATCAAGGATTCCAAGGATCACAAGAAGGGTTTGGAGAAGAGTTACAAATGGACGGCGGAGATTAAGGGGAAGGGCCGGGATTCCCCAGTTGATCGGATGTACACGATTAAAGTGTCCAATGCAAGTGACAGTAGCGGATCGGAGAAGAAGAAGAAAGATGAGAAAGCGAAAGAGAAGGCAAAATCAGCGGGGCCCACAACTCGCACTGTTGAAATTGAAGAACCATTTGATCATGGGGGCATTGTTTTAAGGCAGGTTGGTATAATCTATGATAATGACAACAATACCTTAATAAATTCATTTTTATTTTTTTTTGCTATAGTTCATCCATTGTGGACCTTATTTTTGGGGTTTTTACTTGTTGATATTAATTTATTAATTGTTTTTTCTATTTTAAAGCACTAGATCTCAGCAGCATAATTGGTAAAAATTGATTCTTGGGGTTATACGATCTTCACTATTTGATATTAAACCTTTATAGTTGAGAATGTTGTACAATTTCAATTGCATAAAGTTAGAAAAATGCAAGATGTACCAATTGATTTGTGCAAGAAAACATTGTAAACATTGGAGGTGACAAATTGTTATGATGGAACCATTGAAGAATTTCAAGAAGAGAATGAATGGCTTTTGTTGTGCTTTACAATAGTTGAAATTCACCAAACTGACAGACAAACCAGTGTTTTCAGCAGTAGTGAAGATAAAAATAATTTCTCCTACCTAATTCAATACAAATAAGCTCTTAAATGCCTCATTTGTGCTTGTAACAAAAGTGTCTCTGGATAATATGTACTCTAGATTTATGATTTCGAATGTTGTGGTGGATGCTATTTCATCTGGTAATAATCTATTACTTTTTTGGAAGCTACATTTTTAAAAGAACCATGTAATTGAGCAATAACTCCTTTGTGTATTATAGGGTTATTTAGGAAAAAATTTCGGGTGCTTATTTTTGTACTTTATAGAATTTTATATGTGTATCATTTCCTTGAGAACATGTGCATTCATATCTTTTAAGCTATGAAATGTGATAATGATTTTAGATTGCGTGCAAGAGCAAAAAATTAATTTGAAATTATATCAAGAAATTGTATGTTCTTTCTCCAATAAACCATAGTTACAATAAATCTCGTTCAGATGTGCATATAAATTTGGGAAAGCTTATGGCTCAGGTATTTAGTTTGACATTTTAAAAAATCGGGTACTAAACTTTAAAATTGTAAAAATCAGGTTTCTACTTTTTATTAATTAATTAAATATTTAATTGTGTAATTTGATAGCGTATATCTTATTAATTAGTTAAAAATTAATTTCAGATCACAGCTTATCAAATTAATTGTTCTCGGATTATTTCGAGGTCACAGATGAAAAAATTTATAGGTCACTTTTAACTTCGTTGGTCACAAATCAAGAATTTTAAGGTCGCAGGTAATTTTTTATAGGTCACACATTAAAAAAATTCAAAACTTTTACAGGTTACAGCTCTATTTCAGCTAGTCACAGTCCCAATTTCCAGGTCACGGACACCTACAGAAGTCACAGATTGAAAAAAAATCAAAACGTTTACTTGTCGCAACTCTATTTCAGTGAATCACAGTTACAATTCCTAGGTCACAGTATTCTATAATAATTCCTCCGGTTGGATTATGTTCTTCATCAATCTATTATGCCTTTTGTACCGCCGCCGGCTATGGATTCATCCCACGACCGCAACCGATCATTTCATCTATCACACCATAGATTCATAAGGGCAGGAAAATGAATCGTTTTTCACGAAAAAGAAAAGAGGTGAATAGATAAATGATACCTTGCAGCCAAGGGAGCAGAAATTCAAATAGATAAATGATACCTTGCAGTCAAGGGAGTAGAAATTGAAGGAATCGAGGAGGCTACGCTCACAGACTTGGCAAATATTTTAGTTAATATAATACCAGAAAACATTCTGCAAAAATAGTTTTGTGAAATGTGAAATACGAGCAGATCTCTTTGATGCGACTACTGGCCAAAATTGCCTTTCCCCAAGCTATGCGAGTGTTGTAATTCAATGGTTTATTGGGAAGATTTGAGCAGGTAAGCTTCTGCATAAGGAGGCGGTGGTGTGGGAGGATGGAGAGAAATGGAGGAGGCGGCGTTGTGGAGAGAGGTGAGAGAGTGGAGAGAAATGGATAGATTTAGGGTTTGGATAAATTAAAATGATAAAAACCTGAAAAGTGGAAAAATAAAGTGAAAATCTGATTTTTTAAAACGTGAAACTAAAGACCTGGTCTATGGTAATTTTCCCTATAAATTTTGCAGCTCTATTTGGTCCATCAACACTATCTATCAAAAAATTTCAGGAATCCTTTCAACCTTGTGATGCCATGTTATTTCTCCATCCTTCGTGAAATAAAATGCCAGAGTAGTTCTCAAAAGGGGATTTCCAAAATGAGGGCTTTGACTTCCAGAATCTCTTTTGAATTGATTTTGTGAAGATTCCACACCTTTTTATCAAGTTATTTTTCTGTCTTACAAGAGCAGATTTTTATATTTTAAGCTTGCACCCATGGGAGACGTGCATTGGTTTCATGCATTTCAAAGAGAATGGAGTCCCAAACAGAGACTTTTGAATTGGAAGAAAGCAAAGTACAACATTACATTCCCCCTATCCCTAGACTTCTTTCAATTCTAGTTTTTAAAATGCAATTATTGCATATGGTGTTTTCTCTCTCTGTTTACGAAGTCATATTCATTTTTTCTTTTAAATTGATCCTGATCGATGTTTTAGTTTAACCATGGTGTATTCTTGATTTTTGTGGTCACAGGCCTTTGCCAAGAGAGTGGAAAAAATCCAGGGGAAGAGGAAGGTATTGTCTCCACTGGATGCAGCGACACTGATACAGTTGAGCTTCAGGGCTTATCTTATTCGTAGGTCACAGGTTCTGCGTGCACTTCGGGAACTGGCTATTGCCAAGACTAAGTTGAAGGAGATCAGGGCCTTGTTCAACAACTTCTCATATCGTCGTCGCATTTCATGCGATGCAGAAGAGCACCAGAGGTTCTCGGAGAAGATCATTGTACTCCTTCTCACTGTTGATGCCATTGAGGTAGCATAAAGTGACAAATTTTGTTATTTTACAAATTTATGAGTTATTGCCTAAATTACTTAGTAATAAGTTAACCAAACATATTTTGTAATTTTTACTTCCTTTTAAGCAAGCTTAGCCAACCACACCCAAAGACATTGTTTAGCCCCTATTTGACAACTATTATTTGAAAACTCTTTTTTCTACATACTCATTTTCAACCACACATTCACACAATAAAATATTTTGTATGTAAAACCAATAATTTTTCCCAATTTTTAACCACATATTCTCCAAAAAATCACTGTTTAAAACTCCTTTTTACCCAAATAATAGCTGTCAAACAGGGGCTGAGTTTAGAGTTGTCCAATTGTGGCTGCCTGGTCGCCATGCATGTGATAGACAATAAGAGATGGATGATTAGGAAACTAACCCCCTGTTTTGACAACCATCTTTCAAAACTCTTTTTTTCTCTTACTCATTTTCAACTATACATTCTCTCAATAAAATACGTTTCACTTAAATCCAAAACTTTTTACTATTTTTTAACCACACACTCCTAAAATTTACTATTCAAAAATTAATTCTTTCCAAAAAAAAAAAAAACTGTCAAACAAGGGATAAGATCGTGAGTTAATGATTGCTTGTTGTTTGGGTTGTTGATAATGTGTGAAACAATTAAAAGTTAAATTTACGTTACAACTTTTTTGACAGTACAGTCATTTACGAATTCACATGGTGCAGTTCTATGCCTAGATCTGCATCGTGACCATTTATGAATTATTTTTGCACACAATGATGAACCTCATCATTGATATTTGCCATTTTAGTTTCTGTGTCAAATGCCTTTGTCAATATAAACCGACTTTACTTAGTTGTTAGCATGTATGCTACTAGTATGAATTATACTGGCAGATGGCTCTCTTCCTCCTTAAAACTGCAACTTTTGTTATCTGCTTTGTTTTAACAGGTTCCCGTGTTTATAAATTATACGCATCTCCTAATTTCTTGCACTAAATTTATTTGTGTGCTTATTTAGGGAAATGCATTGTAGATAAGCATTTGTTCCATGTATATTAGGGAGCTGATTTGATGGTTCGATCTGCAAAGAAGCCTATGGTGGACGAGCTGGAAGCAATGCTTGATGTTGTCGACCCCCAGCCTCCTGGAAAGACTCTGCCCATGCCGATGAGGAGGACATTTGATTTGCCTGATGGTGCCATTAATAAGGAACTTGCAGCGGGCGTTGCACAGGTGATTCAAATGATCGATCAAGAGGCGAATGGCTCTGAAATTGAAGCATGCTTGTAGGAAGATGTATCTTTTAGGTATCGGTACTGGGTTATTTCAGGCGATGGATATTACCTGAAGAGATTTTTTTTACAAACTGAAAGGTGTTTTAGCCTTCCTCGATCTTTTCTGTCTTTGGATGCTATAATTAGCCCCTGTTTGACACCCATTTTTTCTCATTCTCATTTTTTTTCTCTTTTTTCATTTCAACCACACATTCTATCAATAAAATAATACTACACATAAATCCAAAAATTTTGTTGAGTGGACAGTTATTTAGCCCCTGTTTGACACCCATTTTTTCTCATTCTCATTCTCATTTTTTTTCTCTTTCTTCATTTCAACCACACATTCTATCAATAAAATAATACTACACATAAATCCAAAAATTCTCATTACTTTTTAACCACACATTCTTCCATCAATCACTATTCCAAAATTTATTTTTCGTCAAAAACGGGTGTCAAACAGGGACTTGATCATATGTTTCATTTTTTCGTTTTCACTGCAATGTTCGCGGATTGTTCCTTTTTATGTGAACATCATGAGATGCAGCACCAGTTTATAGTAGTAATTTTGGGGCTTTTCACTTGTGGAAATGCCCAAGATACCAAATTTGTATGGCTATCTCACAAATTGGTCTGGATTTTGGATCGAGAAAACAATTAATCTCTTATGTTTTAATAATTTTAACATTAAACTCCTCTGTGGTTGTTACATTTTGATGGGTCACCACTGAGGCCACGTCTACCAGTCTATCATCTCAGCAAAAGCGTGATTCTTTTATTGGGTAGAATCGTTTTCAAGAGAACATACGCTTGAGAGAGAGATTTGAATCCAGCACAAAATATATTTAGAAAGAGATCTCTCGTCAAGTGCTCTACCTAATCTCTCTAATCTTCTACCATGAGAAATGAGAAGCCAAAGATGGACATTCTTTCTTTTCTATCCAACTATACTCAATGACTTGTGAATATCGGAATTTCCACGAGTAATTTAACTTTTTATAATCCCATTATTCAACTTACATACGACTTTGTTAGAACTTTTTCAATAATGTCACTTGTACAAAATAACATATCATTTGAACGAAAGACCATGAATATCTCACACTTTAACAAAGGAATGCATGTCACATCAATGTTGAAATTCTTCCACTGCATCAAGGGCTACCAACTTACGTGAGCAGACCACAACGGCCATCGTAGCCGACTTGAGGTCTACCACCTTTGTTTGGTTGCAATTGGGGATCTGTCTCATGCATCATATAACTAAATTTGGGACTACTACTTGTAGAGTATTATAGATGCATTTCAAAAAGTTAAAACTATTATGTGTAATAGTCAAATCTCAAATCTACGGCTCCTACAAATAGCACAAGCATGCCAATGCACAAAGAATGTAATGAAATACATAGCATGTAAATTATAGAATCCTTGATGTTGAAATTTGAGGCCTCCAATCGACCAAACCGAGCTCAGATTAAACCACAATCAAACACCACAAGAACAAACCGAACTCTCCAATCCGACCACCACCCATCCACCGGTTGCTCCAGCCTTCTACAGCCCACAAATGACTCGGTGTGAAGATTATAGCAGCCCCAAGAGATAGCCACAAAGGCTAGAGAAGAGAGCAAGCAGAAAGCAAGACTCAAGAGCACAAAGCACGGTCCTCCCCTCTTTCTCACGGCTCCATTTCTCCCACACTCTCACACACTAGAAATCGGGTAATATATATATCACGAGGGTCGGCTTTTAGGTTAAACAAGTAGAGGCCCAATAAGTTCAACAAACGAGTGGGCTATCAACTAAAATCCGTCCAAGGTAATGGGTCGAGCTATGATCAACACTAAACAAATTAGGCTACTTCAAATGGCCCACTTAGGGTGTCGGGATGGTACGTTCATTGTGGTGTCGACATTTCGCTTTAATCATCAGCCGAGGCCTATGAAGTATAATCCAACAAAACCGGTTGAACATCATCGCCCGGATTTATTGGGTATCAAAAAACCCAACAAATCTCCATCTTGATCCCAATAAATCTGCAAGTAAACAAAACACATAGTTTATACTCGCACAATCAAGGTAACCAATAAAATTGGTATCACAGACCTTACCTTGTGTCTCCACCTGAAACACATACCATACCTGCTCCATATACTCACCATGGCTAAGGTCAAGAACACCCAAGTAGAAGCAAATACTTACAGCAATGAGTCAAGAGCAAATAAACATGCAATTAAGATATCATATAAGATAACACAGATCTTTTCAAACATGTTCACACAGAACAACAGATTAACACAAAGTCAATCAACAGGCCAACACTTACGCAACAAATGCATAAATAACCTCACGAAGAAGATCTCACCACACTTATCCTATCCTATTCCGTGTTGCTCACTCCTCGATAACACATATCTCACCTCATCGCCCACAATGCTCACTAGACTAATCACTCAACTCATGTTTAACTGGTAAATCTCCATAGATCCTAAGTTCTTGGGATAATCCTCTATCACCACATCACTTCTTCCAACCAACGTGGATAATGGGTCTTTACCTAATAGAAGTGATAGAAGTGCCTCACTCGCACTCCACCTGATCAGGGTCTCTTCACAGATAAAGGATTCCAACATTTGATCACATCTCCACCGTGATCCAAATGCCACACTCCACATCCTACAGTACAAACCACAATATACCCTCAGACATCTATGCTCCACCTTACCAAAAGACATCCAACACACTGCAAATGCATCACAAACCCCACCATGGCAAATCAAAACATTTCGGCGACCACAAAGGTTAGGGCTCAATTTAAATTGACCACTCACCAACAAGGTTACTCCAACACCAACGCTCAAAAAAATCCACAAAGGATAAAACCCACAAAGGGAAGGGTGACAGTAGCACTTACAAAGAGGATAGAAGAAATAGTTGGTTACTTCACAACACTCACAGAGGAGTCTCACACAGAGAACGAAGATAACCCTCACAGGCTGCCCCACATAATCTCACAAACCACACAGGCTCACACAGATGAAGGAGAAAATGACTGCCCCTCTTACTTCTCACTACCACTCACAGAGCAAACGGAGTACGCCATAGATCTCAACCCATTATGCATGCAACCAATTATACCAAGTAATAAGATCACTCCAATTCATGCCAATGCACATATCAAACACATTGAAATGCAACATATAATCATGCAATCGAATTGAGCAATCACACACATGCAGAAATAATTACACACAGATGCACATAGCAGTAACTAGGTTTACACTCAATAAACCTCACACGGGTCATCACTCGACCCAAAAATAGAATTCGCATCACCACCCTTATCAACTTTCCTTTTATCATCCCTAGGACAGTCTATTTCAACAATGTCCAAATAACTTCAGTTAAAACACATCTTATTTTTTGCACATGCCTTAGACCACATTTGCCAAATTAAAATATCATATTTTTCATTAAAACATGCACAACTCATAATGTGTTGTCATTTTAACCAAAAAATGCACAAAACACAAAATACAACCAATAATGACCACAAGTAAAGTACTGACACAATTCATACAGAATAGTCAAGTAAACTTTCCTAAGGTCACGTGCAATTCTAAATAATGAAAAATAAATCGACAACAAATTCACGAAGAATTTAAGGCAAATAATTAACAAGTAATTCCTAGGTCTAGCAACAGGCAATGGTTACCCCTTCACGGTAGCCCCAAACCTAATGTCACCCCACACGATGACTTCTAATGCGAAAAATAAATTTTCCTATACAATAGTTTTAACTGCAATAATAAAAGGCAAAGAATACGATACCGAGCGGACCACGTCTGAAGGTCCGTAAATATCGAGAGATGCGAATTCACCATTTTAGGACCGTCACTCTTTGTCCTAAAATCATCGGCAACCACGGCAACACAAAACGACACTCGACACCCGAATGTCCAAACGCAAACTTGTCTAACTTTCACCGTGCCTCAAACGGAAATCCGTCAACACCGTTGGGTCCGTCTCGATGTCCCCAACAAACTGCCTGAAGACCACTTCTCCAAATTCGACCCCCACGTGCCGCACCTCAGCGGCGCGTGGGCCTCACGCGCCGGAGACTCGCCGGCGCATGACCAACACGGGCCATCTCCCCAGCTGCGCCTCGACCTGCTGAGTCCGCCGTGGTGTCCGTTTCTCCAAACTCCTTCTGGTTTGGCCGGAAAACGCAATTGCAGGTCCGAATTTCGCACAAAAAATCTGGACAGTTTTCTGCTTCGATTCTGCTGCGTTTCTGCTCGATTTTTCTGCTGATTTCTGGCCTAAAATCCTCCTCAACCTTGCTCTGATACCATTTGTTAAAATTTGGGGCCTCTAATCGACCAAACCAAGCTCAGATTAAACCACAATCAAACACCACAAGAACAAACCGAACTCTCCAATCCGACCACCACCCATCCACCGGTTGCTCCAGCCTTCTACAGCCCACAAATGACTCGATGTGAAGATTATAGCAGCCCCAAGAGACAGCCACAAAGGCTAGAGAAGAGAGCAAGCACAAAGCAAGACCCAGAGCACAAAGCACGGTCCTCCCCTCTTTCTCACGGCTCCATTTCTCCCACACTCTCACACACTAGAAATCGAGTAATATATATATATCACGAGGGTCGGCTTTTAGGTTAAACAAGTAGAGGCCCAATAAGTTCAACAAACGAGTGGGCTATCAACTAAAAGCCGTCCAAGGTAATGGGTCGAGCCATGAGCAACACTAAACAAATTAGGCTACTTCAAATGGCCCACTACGTTCATTGTGGTGTCGGCATTCCACTTCAATCATCGGCCGAGGCCTATGAAGTATAATCCAACAAAACCGGTTTAACATCATCGCTCGAATTTATTGGGTATCAAAAAACCTAACACTTGAAAGGAATTTGAAATAGAAATACAAATGAATAATGCAAATTTTTTAACTGATGTGTCCGAGAATTACAAAGAGAAAGTCCTTTATTATGGGGTTATACGTAACAGTAAAAGGAACGAGTGAAGCTAATTTTATAATTAACCTTTTAGAGATACAATCGAATGAGATCTTGAATCTTTGACAAGGACAACTAATGTTTGTTGTTGTGCTTCAATATTAGGTTCTGAGAAAAGTCCTTGATGGTGGATAGGAATGGCAGATGGAGTCCTTATTAACAGGAAGGGACCTTATGGGTACAACTCAGACACTTGTGCTAGATGGCATTGAATACGCGACCATCTATGCCGATCCAGTTCAAGTTCTTACAAGTTACTAGGCAATCCAGTAGGGCAGAAGCACTTCTATTTACCCTATTTCCTTTGTGTAGTACTCACAGCCAACTAAATCTTGCAATTTCAGACAATAACTAGATGCTCTTTCAGTTTTTGTTTTACATTTCTGTAAACTATATCTTTGGAAATTTCATTGCAATACCTTCATTATCAAACTAAAAAGAACACTTCTGGTATCTTTCATTCCTACTTAGTACTTAAATGGCCTATAATTTGGGTCTCGTTCTGTTATGCAAATGTTTTTCTTCATCTTTTGGTCTGTTGTCGTGAAAGCCAGGCAATCTTAAATTCTTTTGATCTTACTTGGCTCATTTGGAAAACTGCAGGCAAACTTACAGAATTCGAATGCACAATGTTGGAGTCTCTATGTGCTTAAATTTTCGGATTCAGAACCATAATTTGCTTCTTGCAGAAACAGAGGGTTATTACACCTCCCAACAAAAATATACTAGCATAGACATCCATGTCGGGCAGTCTTACTCTTTTTTGGTTACCATGGATCAGAATGCAAGTAGACGTAGTGATTACTATATTATTTTGCATTATTCCAACTCAAAAGGAAAAGCAACTGGTCCACTCCCATACCCTTTGAATGATGCTTATGACACATCATTTTCACTGAACCAGGCCATGTCCATCAGTTGTCTAGTTTTATTCTCTTTTCTTTATACAAAAATAAACCAAGCCTTGATCCATATAAATTTGGGGTCCACTATTCTATTCGCTTCGGCTCATTGCTTGATCTATTAGAAGATAGAAAATAACTGGACTCTTAGCAACTACATCAGTCATATTAGCCTTGGTTTACCCTTCCATCTTCTAACTGTTCTACCGAGTTCCTATCATTCTTATGAGTGGAAGCATTTTAGGTCTATGCAAAATATATTTTAGTCAGAAATTGTCGCTGACTTTTTCTTGCATGCAGTTAAATAGGAGACTTGAAACTCAGAATGAATAAAAAAAAAAAACGAGTCCCTTCTTTATGATGAAGTGAAATTTAAGACTATTCAGTTGATATCTTGCCATTTAGTACAGATAGTTGGATATCAAATTCTGGCAAGAAATTCTGAGAATGTTTCCCTTTTCTTATGAGAAATGGTTACAATACATCTGTCCTGATCAATGTGTTTCCTACTTTAAAATATCGGGCAAAATGAAAGTGCAAGTGGAGATCGTCCTAATCCACAGGGTTCCTTCCATTATGGTTCGATCAGTGTAATTGACGTTTATGTGCCGAAGAGTCTACCACCAACATTGATTGATGGGAAACTCCGGGCTACATATAATGGGATTTCATTTGTCAATCCTGAAACACTGATAAAGCTTGCTGATGTGTACGAAGTGAAGGGTGCTTACAAGCTTGATTTTCCAAGTAAGCCACTGGACAGGCCTCCCAAGATGGACAGATCTGTTATACAAGGGATTCATAGAAATCATCTTGCAAAACAATGACATGGTCGCACAGAGTTTTCACATGGATGGTTATTCGTTCTTTGTGGCTGGGTTAGTCGTCCGTACCTGAAGTTTATTTTTTGTGTAGAGGTCGATATCAATACATTTGTGTCAATCTCATTATTGATGATTAATTATCTGCAGGATGGGTTATGGTGAATGGACTGAAAATAATAGAGGTTCATATAATATAACGGGTGGGATGCAATATCTCTCTCTACTAAGGTATGTTCTATAGTGTACCTTTTGTATGTTGGTTAGCTTGCACAATGGAAACGTTAGGGCCTTGACAATTATGTTGTTAGCCTTTGTGGTCCTGTTTTCTTTAACCGTTGACTTTTCCCATCATCAAAAGGATTAACTGTTTCCTGTTAATTCTATATACTTTTTAACCTTGTGAATTACTTTTCCTCTCGAGTTAGAAGGTAATCAGCGAGTGTGGTTCAGATTGTTCTGTTTTCTTAACAGTCATGGAATAAATTAGAAATGCCCATATCTACACCCTATTAACAATTTCTTCCTTTTCATAATTAACCTTTTTCTTTGTGGCGATGGATTTCTGCTGGAGGATGGAGAGCAAACTTTTAATTCTCAATGCATTTTGACCTCCAAATCTACTGTTTGTTGCATCGTTGTAATTTCTCAATAAATATGAGCTGAAAGTCCCATTTCTACAATACATGACACATTTCTTCGTATACTTCATTTAAGTAGGTTTTTGTTGGAGTGGACTGCATTTTTTGAGTCTCTTGACATTGTTGGTGTCTGGAACCTCAGAACAGAGAACCTCGACAGATGGTCCCTCGGTCAGGAAACATACATGCAAATTATCAAATCCTGAAGATGATGACAACAAAACAGAAATGCCTATTCGATAATGCATGCTGAAGTAAAGAACCTTCTTCTTCTCTCTCTCTCTCTCTGATAGTGTATGACTGATTTACGCTCGTTATTTGCAGGTCACAAAAATCTTCTTTAGCATCCACCACACATTTCTGCTCAAAGCTGCAGGTCGCAATGTTGGTTGTAGCTTCTATATTCATCCATTTTCTGCTAAGCTTTACTTCCAGCCGGTGAAAATTTGCACGCACCAGATTCAAGTGGCGTTCAGTGGAAAGGCCAGGGAGGAGTCACTAGAATCGCACAGGATCCCTTTTCTCTCTTCTTTCAACTTGTATTTGTAACTTGTTTGTCTAGGATCTTGCAGAGAGAAGTTGAGTTGTGCAAAAATTTCTCAATACACATTTGTTAAGGGATATATATCCCACATCGATAAACGATGTTGACACAGACCAATTAATAAAGATATTGGACTACTCCGCTTAATAAGGTTGACCTTTTAAGATGGAACCCCAATTATTAACATGGTATCAGAGCCCATTATGCTCCAACGAGCGATTCGATCTCGTTAAAACTCTAAAATGAGCACGTGAATTTTCAAAATTGGTCTGCCTAAATGAGACACCATCTTACAGGGGAGTGTTAAGGGATATATATCCCACATCGATAAATGATGTTAACACAATCCAATTAATAAAGATATTTGACCACTCCTCTTAACAAGATTGACCTTTTAAAATGAAATCTCAAATCTTAACAAAGTTACATGTTTAGGTGATTGCCATTCATCATGTATCTGAAATTAGTACATATTTTGGTGAATATAATCCCTTTTTGACATGGTCTTTTGCCAACTGTTATGATTATCTTCTTTATTACGATTTTGTAGGGATCTGTGTTTTTGATAAATTGTTGCACTCTCTAGTCATCCAAAATTACTTTTTACGTGTTTACCTTTTTTTGAGGGTGGCGGACGTTCGTGCCAGTAGTTACGCATGAAAAGCTTCCAACGGGGCACTAAATTTTTAGTAGTACTTTCTAAACTTCTAGCGTTAATCTATTAATCGTGTTCTGTTTTTTAAAAGTGAAATGCTGTCTATTACAATTTTTCAAGAATTAGGCTACATTTACAGTCTTTTTGTACAGCCAATTACACAGCCCCCTCACATGGGGTGGGCCCCACAGAATACCCCATGTGAGGGGGTTGTGTAATTGATTGTAAAAAAAGACTGTAAATGTAGCCTGGGTGGGCCCCACAATTTATGTGAGGGGGCTGTGTAATTGACTGTACAAAAAGACTGTACAACTAGATATTTTCATTTTTCAATGTGTCTTGATGTTGACTATTGTCAAGTAAAAATACCCGACGACTGTTATTTGTATTGCTCAAAAATTAATTATGGATAGCTCGTTGAGAAAGTGTACATTAGAAATTTATAAAGGATAATTCTACAATCAAAATTAAAATTTGATGGGATTTAAAGGAGGTGCCCATGCCTTCGCCATTTCAGCCATAAAAGGGCTGACACCGTGCTTGTGTTTGTGCATAAATGTTATGTTATATCCACATTTATTGGAGTTTATTGCAATGTTATGAAAACTGGACCGGACCGGTCGATTCTATCGAAAAAACCGTGAACCGTCCTCTAATCTGGTCCAGTGCTTATACATTAATCGGAAAACGAAAAATTGGCCAATAAACCATTAACACGGCCAGTTTAACATGAAATTGGAAAATCGGCCACGGTTTTTCCGGTTAATCAAGTTAATATAATTTTTTTTTTTTTTTTTACAATTTTTTTTAACTATCTGGATGGACCACCTATTGCAATAGAAGACCCAAATAACTTTTTAATACAAGTGATACTAGCCAATTGCCATTTCGAAGTGTTTAATAGTTCACTTCATCATTTTCATTAAAAACATCATAACCCCCAACAAGACTATAATCACAAACAATTTTAATTTGAACAAAGAAAATTATTTTGGACATATTAATTGTTAGTTTTTGAGGTTATAAAATAATAGTTTATTTGTGTATTTATTTATTTTGTCATCTGGTTCGACCCTTTGACCCCGACCTTCTTCATTTTCCGGGTCGATGCCCGGGTCTATTTTTAAAACATTGATTATTGTTTAATGATCAACTAATCTTGGCTCTTTTGTTTGGGATTTTTTTTTTTATAGGGGTCAACCAAAACAACCTAGGTTCTATGAACACTAATTTTTTATTTAAATAAGAAAATTTTATTTAACTCGAGAAATTAGAGGCAAGTCCAAGGTGGGCTCTGGACAAAGTTACAAAAGTTATTTGTTCGAAACCTTATTTATTTACTTATAACTAAAAATTTTAGATGATAAGTGATCCGATAATCGAATAGATAAATTTTGATCAAAAAAATATTCCCACTTACACTAACTGTGGAGTCTTTTTGTGTACAGGACCATATTCATGGACGTAGCCAAGATTTCAATCTCGCGAGTGTGAAAATTTGGGGAGTAGAGGGGGCCCCCCTCCCGGGGGTCCGCCCCGAAAATTTTTTAATTAAGAAGATTGAAAACGACGATTTTGAGTATCAAAATAGACAAGTTAAATTGATTGACCAAAAAGACAATTAGTTTGTCGATACAAAAACAATATGTCCATCTATGTTTCTAACGCTATACAAATTGAAAACATGAACGTTACATGGACGTCAAAAGGACAAAAAGTAAACTGCCTATTTATATAAAAGATGGTAGAGATGGCTTGGACATCTGAAATTGGTATCTATTTAAGTAACTATTGGATCTTTTGTTTAGGTCTAAGATTTTGTATGGTTGAATTTTAAAGTGTAAGTTATTGGGTCAATATTTATTAACGGAAAAAAAAAATTTAAAATTTTGCGGGGGACAAGTCAAAACTTTTGGGGGGCGGGGGAGCGAAATTGAAAAATACATTATAAATTAACTAGGAATAGTGAATCGGCGGACAATGTTGGGGGCGGTCCCCTCCCCCTCTCCGTCTCTGACCATATTCATCATCCTCATCTTTAAATTTTCGTAGGAATGATCACAACTTAACTTCTATGTAAAGAAGAAGAAAATCCTTTTTGAAAAGATTTTGGAACCTACTGTGCTAACTACCAAGCCAACCTTCAAAGTGACGTTAATGTGGTGGTATGTGGACCGCAAAGCCAAAAAAAATGCCCTCCAAATTATGAAGTTTGATAAAAATTTAGATGGAGTCTGATTGATTATTAAGGTCGATTTTCGTGCTTACTTGGGTAGTGTGATACACTCGTGTGGAGTATTTATTGGATAATCAGGTTGTTACTTTCATAATCGTAGCGGATCTTTTGCTGTTAACCTAGGTTTGGATCTAAAATTAATATCACAATTTAATAGAGCACTTCACAATTCAAACACTGCCAGCCATTCTAAGTTACATGAAATGTCTTCCACAAGTTTAAATGTTTTCTATTGATATCGGATCTGCGACCTCATTTAATACAGTTTATTATATGCATTAAACTCATGCTAAATTAAGGTCGGGCATTTGAGGTCAGCTCATACTAATAACTGTCGTTATTTGAGGAGACAAAATGATTGGAGATTTCTTACACGCTGTTAAATCGTCCAATCATTCAATTACATTTGGACATGCTCATGTCAGCGCCTCCTGATTCTACCAATCATATGTTATAGTTTTATTCCCTAATTAGTTCATTAATTATTGGGGGCAACATGCAAGATAGATTCATGATGACCTGTTGGAGCCGACTTTATCAACCAATCAAAATATGCTATTAACGTACTTCTTCAGCTCGGCGTTGTATATCGATTTGACAGCAACCAATCAGGACAAGTCATTGGCACGAGTTCCCAACTCAGCACTGTAGCTGATAAGACAAGAACACGTCATATACATGTTTATCCTTCCTTATAAAAAGGAGGCCGGTATCCTCAAGAAAGGGATGAGACTTCATACTTAAAATATCTCATTTGAAATGAAAGGAGAACACTCATAATTTACTCTTGTAATTGACAAGTCATTACCAATAAAAATCCTCATTTACACACTAAGTTGGTTTGAATTTTGTCTATACAGTTTTCCATGTCAACATATTCTATTATAATGTTAAATGAAATATTGTTTTGCTCAAATCTCGGCAGCGTCGACCTTGTATGGCATGTTTCCGGTATGCTGAATTAGAGAACGATGGATGGAACAATTACAGTCTAGTCCCCTAAACAACACGCCATATTGTTTTCTTAAATCTCAACGTGTAAAAACTGAAAAGAGATGAATAATTTTTTCCAAAACACTTTCTAGAGGGAAGCAAACCCAATGTACCATAATAGTTCAAAATTAGGAAAAAAATAAATTGAAAATCCACCCCAGAAGAAAATGAATAAATTAGGAGGTTCTTGAATCCAAAAATGCTTCTTTTTTTTTTGTACGTGCAACATAGAAAATCATGATTATAAAAGCAATTCTGGATTATTTTTACAAACAAAATGCATATATATTGTAATTTTAGTACTTTATCCACAGATAGACAACATAAAGAGTCTGTGGTTATCAGATCATAACATATTGGCAATGCTGCATTTCCAACTAATGCAGCACATTATAGCCTTTATCTTACAAGAATGACATCTTGGCTACATAATTTTACTCGACACATTTGGTATGTTGTACTCAATAGAAGCGGACGGGATTATAAAGAAAAAGAAGTTAAAATCTTGTCTGCACTTCTATCAAGTCTTACTTACCAAACATTGCCTTAACTTAATCCTAGGTGTGTAGTCCGAGGTTCAATAGTTAGGTCATACTATAATTTCAGGTTTATTATTTACAAGAAACTGGACAAATTAATAATGTTTACCCTCAACATCTGTATACTTATATGATCAGTATATATATACTGGTTGCAGACTGGTTTTATTGGATTCATTTCCACAGATCAACTTGACAACTTGAGGATGAGGTTGAGGCATTATTTTCTGGTGCCGTTTCTTGCTTGTTCAAGTGTGTGATAACCATCATATTGGATTCATCGGGGCCTCCATGGAAGGCGGCGTCGGCTGCATTGGAATAATCATTTTCCTTAGAAACAACCTCTTCGTGGCTGAGTTGGGATGCGACAAACTTGTCAAGTACGCGCCAATCTGTCACTTGATCTCCCGCATGCTGTTCGGTACTGTTTCTGTAAACTGAGTGAAAGTTATGCTGATCATGGCTTTGGATTGATGATTGCACGGTGTTTGATAAATTGTTTATGTGAAGGTCGCCATAGGGAGAAATTGTGCTGCAACTCATGCTGGTTGGCATCATTTTCGGACTCTCCAGAAGTGGAAGCTGATGACGAAAGTGCTGATCAGGGGGCATTTGATACTGCAAATCAAGCTCCTTCTTGCAGGAATTATAAGGATAGTGGTAATTCAGATTCTGCTGCTTCGGCGAGTCAATTTCCGGCATGAATGAAACTTGATCGTCATACCAAATTGGGGAGTCATGCTCACTAACTTTATGCATGCTGGCTATTCTCTTCTTGAACACTCTGCAGACAACCCAACCTTCTTCCTGTGTAATATTCAAATTATTCTTTCACATCAATCTTTTTTCATTGTCCTTTCCTTTTTTTTTTTTCGAAAAATGGGTAATAAATACTGTCAATCAAACACATATATTAATATAACTCAAAAAACCAAAGTTGAATGTGCTAATGTTGATAAATCTGGTAATGCATGCATAGATCAAGTAGTCTTTTCCATACAATGATTAAGAAGATTACCGAGTGGTATAAGTGTTTGTTGAACAACGTTATCTAAAAGTTTAAATTGTTAGATACGAACATAAATTTACCTACTTATATTTTGTTTTTCAAACAATCCTTCACATGCATGCAAGATTTAATTTTTCATCGAGAGTTACGTGCACAATTTTCATAAGGGCAGGCAGTAGAATGACTTGAATCTTAGGCCTTTGCCTACTCTAATACTATTTGCAGGAGATAAATTTATTTCATCGTAAACCCTAAATAATGTTACACTATATACAGATAAATATATGTATATACTTGCCTGTGGAGTCCCATTTTCATCTGTTTCGAGGCGATATTCATGCATAATCCAATCTGATTTTTGACCATTTGGAGCTCTGCCTTTATAAAACACCAAGGTCTTCCTCATGCCAATTAGGTCGTGCTTTGAGTAAATGGCCTTGTCCCTACCTGTTGCTTTCCAAAATCCTGCTGCTGTAGCCCTATTTGTGCGTGTTCCAGTCGGATATTTCTTGTCTTTGTGGCTAAAGAAGTACCAGTCATTTTGCTCTTCTGTTCCTATTCTGCATAGCTCTGTAAGAATATATATTTTTTAATAAGAATCTGGATACTGCCATGAATTTCTGTGCGTTTTTGAACCACGTCTTATTTTTAAAAATTTAAGCTTTTCAAAGAGTTGACAAATTTATTAGTTTTTAATACGTAATCTCACTATCAGGATCACAGTAATTTACACTTTGTTCTTTCGCCTATTTTGATACAAAGTTGAACTTCTTCTCTTGTAAAAGTTTAAGCCATTAAAGGAAACCATATATTTATTTATGTTTAGTCTTCGACCTACCTTGAAGATCCCAAGGCTCGATTTTGTACAGATCAACATCTTTAATAACATCGAAGTCGATCCGTCTTGAAGTAACCTTTCTCCTAAGGTAATAATCGACAAGTTCTTCATCAGTCGGGTGGAATCGAAAACCCGGGGGAACATGCGAAAAAGCATTCATCCTATCCTGAGTCAAATCTGAAACCTGCAATTCATAGTCAACACAATATTAATATACAGGCTCAGTGCACACATTGTTTTATAAAATTAGTAAACAATGATATAAACTAAGTGAAAATATGTCATTCTTCTTATCATACTGATTTTTTTTTTTTAATAACTATGAACAAAAACACGTGCATGACCCAATTAAGATAGAATCTTAATTCAGTCTAAAACATGTCTTAATTGTAATGAAGCATCTAATCCTAATTATTGCAAGCTAGCTAGTATTTTCATTTTATTTGAATCCTTTTACAACAACTAAATGTTTTTAACAACAACTTTTTGTGGTGGACAACATATATATCACAAGCCTGCTAAAATTGCAATATCAAAACGATAGTATCTCCTCAAAGTGTTTTCCTATATATGTCTATGTACCAAATATGAAGGGACAAAGTATAAAGAAACCAAGACTTTAGTACAGCACTCAATATAATTTTGGGAAACCATTTGACTTGGAATATCATTAAAATGGTAACGCATTTTCGCGCTTTACAACACGAATGGTACACTTAACTAGACACGATGGGAACAAACATTCATCGAATTAATTAGTGCCATCTTAGTTTTTCAGTTGAAACTTTGTTTCCCAAACCTCAAATTTGATAGAAATCAACTGCATAGCTATGCTCTATATGTTAAATTACAAACTAATGTAAAAAGGTAATAAAATTAGGCATATAAACATTATCAATCATCTGGTCATAAAATTTAATGAAATTTCATCAATTTAGCCACAAGTTCGTAGATCCAATGGTCTCATTAATGTGACAAAAAGATTTGGCATGCTTGTGCTATAGAAATAATTAATGTCGTAACGGTAAGAGAACAAAATGAACAAGAAAAATTGGATGTGAATCATCATGTAATATGATTAAACCTAGGATCAAGTGCAAAGGCGCCTTTAGGGCAGTGATAAATAAATAACTTTCAAAAACAGAACTTTTTATAGATATCTGTGACCATGAATTATTCAGCGATCTTCAAATAATTCAATTCTAACGATTTTTTTTTCTAGTTGTCAATATTTCCTGAAGAAACTTTTCCTTGTAATATATTTCATTGGATCGTTCAAAAGCAATTATAGTATCATGTTAAGTAATACCATTATAAAAGTAATAAGACATGCTATATCACTGTAGAATCACATGAAAATGCATATAATCACTGCTCCACTCATTGTGGATCATTAGGTCTCTTTAAGAACAAACGTGGTTAATTAGCGTACAATGGTAAAAACACATATGTGTGAGTGTGTCTATATATATAGAAATTTGTTCTTGATGTCAAGATCTGCTGAAACATCAGCTTCCATCTTATAACAATCAAGATGCAGAAATTGAACCTGCTAATTCAATTTTGTGTGTGTGTGTGTGTGTGTGTAGAGGGAGAGAGGGAGAGAGAGAACCTCAGATAAAATAGCCTGAAAAACTCCCTTGCAAAACCAAATTGTCTGAGCAAGAAAGAACTTTTTCTTCGAGAACGGAGATTTTGGACTAGAGAGATGGATACATATTCCAATAATGCTCCAAAACTAGAGGAAGACCAAATTCAGACAGCTAAAAGACAAACACAATTATAGAAAGAACAATATATACTTCTCGGGACTTGAACCCTAGCAGTTCTTGTCCTCAAAAATAAGAACTGCAAGGACCCCTTAATGTTTTCTTCTTGTCTGCAATTGATCGGATCCCGAGAAAGAGAGAAAAGAAAACCCGGATCGTCAAACTGAGTAATGGAAGAATGGAGAACAAATGGGATTATATAAAGACAATCAAATGAAGAGAGGATTCAGAGAGAGAGAGTAGAAGTAGAGAGAGAAAAACCCTAATGATGATAGATCATTTAGGCTAGCACAGATTTATTTGATTGCCTCTCGCTATCAACAGTGGGTTGAATTGTTGGGAAAGTTTCTGGGCGCGAAAAAAGGTGGCGCAAAATAGGCACACATATACATACTATATACAGAAAAAGAGAGCTATAGAGAGAGAAAGAGCAGCGTGTGGGCAACTGCCACCTCCACCACCCGCAACTGAGAGAGACATCTATTCTGAGAAGAATGTTCTGTTTAATGTTTACTTTTCATTGAATTTAGATGTTAGATATTGAGAGAAGAAGTGTGTGATTAATACATAATAAAAATGAGTGGTCTAAGAAAGAAAAATGTTAAATTTTTTTGTGTCATTAATTGATGTTCGAGTTTAAATCATATTCTTGTTAAATCTAAAATCGACAAGTATCTAAACCTACAGATAATTTACATCGTAAATGAAATTAAACGAGAAAAATTTAAGTCTCGTTCGAATCGTTTTCTCTCTTTTTCTCCTCACAAACAGGACAAGTTTAAATACCTAATGTATATGCCATATATTAATTTTGAAAGGTTTTAATTTGACACATTTATATGCTTTGATAATATGTAACACTTCCATTAAAAAGAACAAACAGTCTAAGATGTTTGGAATAATTCATTTGAAAGTGTGGCATAGTAACCTTAATAAAATTTATTAATTAATTTACTTTTTTAGTTTAAAGGGAATGTCACGCCATGGACCAATCATCAAACAGCAAAAGGTCTGTCTTAGAGACCATAAGAGACCAAACAGAAACAATAAATAATTCTTAGTTTTTTTTTTTTCTCAGTGGCGACTTAGCAGAACAGTCTGAAGCCAAAAGCTAAACCTATCTGTCTAAATGTGGTAAGATGGCCCAACCATTCTCTACCATGTTCCTTGTCCCTACCATTTCTTGTTCATTACTAATGAAAATTTGGGACCCCATTGCGCACGGTTACACTTGATTCACGAATATTTCATTTCACTGGTTACACATTTCTTTTATCTTTTTAAACTTTCAAACGTGATTCAATATGATATTAAAGTAAATAAAATTTATATTCGAATTTTGTCATCACTCATCGAGCGTCAAGAACCTCGCTCTATTCTTAGACATGCCCGGCAAAGGTTATTTTAGAACGACAATGAATCTGATATGCGTGTAAAGAGTTGTGTTAAAGACGAACTTTTTTAATAGATAAACTAGTTTTATGGTAAGATCGTTTTACAATATGATGGTAATTATAAAGAAAAGGCTTGTATTGTGGAAAAGAATTGGTTTGCTATGTTAATGATTGTACTTAATTAATTTTTGTCTCATCTCATTTAATTGAAGTGGTTAGTTTGTTAACTGTCTCAATAATTACCCCCATGATTCTCCATCTTGGAGAGTTAAATGCACGTTTAGTTTTACTTTTTGTTCCAAAAAAAAAAAAGTCGTCTAATTTCTTGCACAATTGAAATGATGGGAAATCTTACATCAATTTGATGTCGAAAATAAATTAATTCGATAAAGAATTATGCCAATTAAAGCTTCAACACATTGTTATGAATGATGAGCTACTCCGATCCCCTTCACTAAAACTCGTTATGAATCGAAAGCGATAAACGATGAAAAAATATAGACATGTTTGATACATTACATTGAACAAGATAATAGTTACGTATTAATTGTCGGGGTGAAAACGAGTCTTCAAATATCTGCAAATTGGAGGAGGAATTCAGTGAAAAAAATGACACTGTGGTTCACAATCTATAAATGTATGGTCCAAAGCTATAAAATTTTGGTACCAAATTCACTGTTTCATATTTTTCCACCACATCATTTAACGTACCAGTTTCTTGCTCGTGACCTATACGTTTCTTCACCACCACCGACTGTCATCATTATACATACAGAGAGAGAGAGAGAGAGAGAGAGAGAGAGATGCATGAACACATGCGAGTTAAGCTGACTAAAACTGGGCTCGAGCCTGTTGAAACGTACGTCCCTAGCTAGTTTCACTCCCATCTCGTTCTAAAAGGGCCTTAGCCTTAAATATTGGACGCTATTATTAAATGGAAAGAAGTTATAACATTATGTTTGGTGCACATTTTTTCCTCAAGAATGCATTATTATTTTTTTTGATGTGATGGGGGAATATGTGGTTGAAAAAAAAAAAGGAAACGTTATTGATGTGATGAAAGATATTATTTTATTGAAGAATGTGTGGTTGAAAATGAGTAGAAGAATGAAAAAAAAAATAATGTGGCTCAAACAGGGGTTTATATTATCAATTGATTTAATTCAAATAAACTGGTATCAATTAATGTGGAAAGAAGTAGCATCGATAAAATCTAAATAATTTATTAATTTGATCTAATTTTTTTTTATTTCTGGACAGTTTTTAAATTAATTTGTAATAATATATATAGACACGTCGAACAAATCTCGATCCAACTCAAAACTTCAATAATTAAATTACTTTATAATGTCCTCATTCATATTTATCCAAGACTGTTAAAAATGATTAATTTAGTTTATTTTTAACGAGATTAACCTTTAAAGATAGAATTTTATAACTCAATATGACATCGGAGTTAAAGAGCTCGATGTGCAGGCAGTTTGACTTATTTTTAAAGCTATCGAAATTTCAAAATTGGAGTACATGAACATTTCATTGTAGAATCGTAACTCAATAAATTATGGACGTTGCTACATGTATATCAAGCTTTGCATGATGAGTTACATAATGTCACGTGTCACTCTATCATTTGTCTGTTTAAAACACAGTCAACTTTTTCATTCAATCTTTTTGTTCAACATCATTTTATGTAATTTTTTAGGTACAATTTTTATGTACAAGTAGCATAATCAATAAATTATTAGGACTGAATTGAAATTTAGGTATTTTTTCCTTGTCCAACGACCACAGATGGGTGCCTACGGTTGGTTGGTTTACGGTTGGTTTACAATTCTTTATTCGTGACAAAAACTGCTGGTCCCACAACCATACCGGGCCGGGCTTATACCATCAGGAGAGTGACGGCCCTCCAAATACATATCAAGCCGGCTAAGAATAAAAAAGAGCTTGGCTGAGCCGAGAGGACTAGGGGTTTTGCAATATGGTATGTAGGGTGGCTGCGGTGGAATGTGGGCCCCAAAGAGAGAAATGATGTGTATTAGAGTTGGGAGTTCAGTTTGGCGGCTCTGCTGTCTGGCGTGGGCTAGCCAATATCATTAAGCTTGCAACTAGGCGTACTGTCTGGCTGAGTTGTATCGTGGGCCCCCACTAGTGGGCCCCATAAAATTCCACGTAGACAAATTAATTGGGTCGTTGCCATTTATGTTTATTCTTAATTACATATCGTTCAAAATATTGAACATACTGCAATAAAATTTATTACACGATAGAATAATCAAGAAAGGAATGAGCTCACGAGTGCCGAATAAGCATGAATACGACTATCTAAAAGAGCACATTACAAAAAGAGGTGGTGGTGCAATCCCAAATTGCTTAAGGAAGATCCAAGTTTTGACTTTTTTGGATTGATAGCGTCATGTTAGAGCACCTTTGGAACCAAGTTTGTTCGTGTTGTCCTTCTTTATCGACTTTACTTTTCCCCTATCGATGGTAGATTCTTTATATTTTTCATGAGGCGAGATTGGAGTCCTTACAAATAAGACAAATATAGACCATAACACGAAAAGTACAAACAGCAAATCGATTTATCCGTGAACTACAAAAGGCGAAAAGAAAAAAAAAAATAATAAGAGACTTGTTAGTTTTAAGGTTTTTAAGCTTTCTTGATTATATAATAAGTTGATCAACATGCATATTGATCCATAATAACTTTGCTTGAGATAGTTAATTTTTTTTGTTATTAAAATAGATCATTTTTATTAGTTAAAATTGTTAATAAAGTAAATTATTAATTCCAAGTGTAACTTTTCCTTATCGCTAAAATGGGTAATTCTTTTTTACGAAAAAGCAAAGTTAATTTCTCTATTTTTCTATATAATCTTGCAATTGATTGTTTCCTTTAAATATTGCTCCCATTTGTACTTGTTTGGCCTTGTGTACATAAGCAAAAAGGAGTTTGAATGCAAGACTCACTCATATTATTTGACATGTAATAGAAGGGTTGTTGTCTACGTTACGAACCAAAAACTCACATCGTCGAAAATGTTTGGTACTTCAATATTAACTCTTTTGGACTTGGGCTTGCACTATGTTACAAGAGTTAGGTTTACAACCATTAAAGCAATATTTGCGTAGAGTGCAGAATAGTGTGAAACAGTTGTATGGTCGTGAGAGCATTAAGATATCTGTTTGTACTGTCAAAGGAGCGGTGAAGACGAGCAAACTTATTCCAAAATATTTATTTCCTTAAGTCGATTTCATCCAAAATAATTAAACCTAGTCAATTTTTAATAATTAAAACAAAATTTTGAAACTCCTCAAAGTTTCCATGACAATAACCTTGTCCATAACTTTGGAAATAAGTTTGATCCAATACTAAAACGTAGACTTGGAGTATCATACAAGGTACAAACCCTTGCAAAATACAAGGGTCACAGAAAGTGCATAAAGGAACTTTTTACCCCCACAAAATATTGAAAACCGGGGAAGAAATGGGGAGAGTTTGGGGGAAAATGGACCCCATCTTTTCATCATGACATGGATATAACATCACGGTACACGTGGCATAGTTTCATTTGCTCTAAATGACTTCAACCAATTATATTGCGGCATCTATAATACTTCTAAGGGCCCACCAGGTTTCATCATCACCTCCTACTACCCTGCATACTCGGCGAATTTTATATTACTAACTATGGGGCACCGTGGAATGTCCCTATTGGTTGTTTCCCAAGACAAAGTGAGAGAAAGACAAAAATGTCCTTCCTCTAGTAAGGAAGAAATGTAGGCACGGTTGTTTTCGTATTTCAATTTTTAGTTTTTAGTTTTGAATTTATTTTATATTTTGAGTATTCATTTTAAAATTGTTGAAAACGTAATTGTTTTCAAAATTTAAAAAATTTCTATTTGTGTTTTGAATTTTGAATTCATTTTGGATTTTGTATTTTGAGTATCCATTTTGAGATTGTTGAAAATGTATTTTTTGACATTTTGAAAAATTGTTTTGAAAACACCCAAAACGACAAATTTTGTTGTTTTGAGTTTTTTTTTTATAAATTTTTAACTTGTTTTCAAAAACGTGTTTCC